GCTTACAGCCAAAGACTTAAAACCATGAAACCAACAATTAAATCAGTGAAGGCTTGGACTGAGGAAGCAAAGCTAAAACTACAGGCTTGCCTTGACTGCACTGATTGAAATGTATTTGAAGATACCACTGCAGACTTGGATGAACTCACAGATACCATAACATCATATGTCAGTTTTTGTGAAGACCTATGTGTGCCAACCAGAAACCTGAGAATATACAGTAACAATAAACCTTGGTTCACAGCTAAACTTAAGCAGCTATATTGCTCCAAAGGAAGCTACAGAACAGGCGATAGAATACTGTAAAATCAGGCCAGAAACATATTAACAAGGGCAATCAGAGCAGCAAAAAGAAGCTACTCTGAAAAGCTAAGGAATCAGTTCTCAACAAATGAGCCAGCAAATGTGGAAAACTCTTAAAAATATCACCGGTTACAGCATGTTAAATTCCCATGCTGAAGGAAATAAATAATTGGCAGATGACCTGAATGTGTTTTAACTATAGATTTGAGAGAAAACTACTGCCACCCATCTCCACAATCCCCATCTCAGACACACCAACAATAGCCAAGCCTCCTACAACATACTCCATCTCATTGGGCCCACCACCTCTGGTGATTACAGAGAATGAGGTTCAAGGTCTATTTCACAGACAAAAGCCAGGAAAAGCACCAGGCCCAGACAAGATAACTCATTACTTAAAAGCTTGTGCTGACCAACTGGCCCCCATCTTCACCCCCATCTTTAATAAATCACTAGAGATGTGCTATGTTCCTTCTTGCTTCAAATGCTTTACTATCATCCCAGTGCCAAAGAAACCTTTCATCAATTAACTGAATGACTTCACACCAGTTGCTCTAACATCTGTAGTTATGAAGACCTTTGAAAGACTAGTGCTGGCCCACCTGAAAACCTGTGTGCTCTCTCCACTTCTCTCTATATACCAATGACTGCATCTCAAAAGATCCCTCTGTTAAAGTACTGAAGTTTGCAGATGATACAACAGTGATTGGTCTCATCCGAGACAATGATAAATCTACATACAGAAGGGAAGTTGAACAACTAGCCTTGTGGTGCAACTAGAACAATCTTGAACTAAATACACTGAAAACCATAGAAATGGTAGATTTTAGGAGAAACCTTCCTATACTACCACCTCTTACAATGCTAGACAACACAGTGTCAACAGTAGAAACATTCAAGTTTCTATCATATCTCAAGACTTAAAATGGATACCTAACATCAAAAACATCATCAAAAAGCACAACAAAGAATGTTCTTTCTGCGCCAACTCAGAAAGCTCAAACTGCCCAAAGAGCTGCTGATTCAGTTCTCCAGAGAAATTATTGAGTCTGTCATCTGCACTTCTATAACTCTCTGGTTTGGCTCTGCAACCAAACAAGACAGACACAGACTTCAATGGATAATAATTAGAACTGTAGAAAAAACAATTGCTACCAACCTGCATTCCAAAGAGGGCTGTGAAAATAACTACACACACCCCTCACTTCCTGGACATGAATTGTTTCAACTTCTACCCTCAAAATGACGGTAAAGGACACTGCACACCAGAACAATTAGACACAAGGACAGTTTTCTCCCGAAGGCCATCACTCTGCTAAACAACTAATTCCCACAACACTGTCAAACTATTTACTAAGACTGTATTACTATTCTTCTTCTCATCCTTCGCAGTACCTACCTCTTCCCACTTATGACTATAACCATGTTGCTTGTATCTTTACAATTTATATTGTTTTATTTGTTTCCTAGTATGATTTGATTGCTTATTAGTAACCTATGACTATCACTAAGTGTTGTATCTTATGATTCTTGATGAATGTATTTTATTTTTTCTTTATGTACACTGAGAGCATATGCACAAAGACAAATTCCTTGTGTGTCCAATCACATTTGGCCAATAAAGTATTCTGTTCCTATTCTATTCTATTCTATTCTATTCTATTCTATTCTATTCTATTCTATTCTATTCTA